GAGAGAGAGGGGGGGGGGGGGGGGGGCGGGCGCCGTCCCTCTCTCTCTCTCTCTCTCTCTCTCTCTCTCCCCCGCGCGTGCGCGTGTGTGCGTGTGCACTCTCCCGCATCTCTCACTGTCACTCTGTCTCTCTGTCTCTCACTCCTCTCTCTCTTCCTTTCTCCATCTCCCCCCTCTCTTTCTATTTATTTGTGTGTGACTGTGTTTGCCCCCACCAGTCACCTGCCGTTCTTCTCTGGCCTTGCTGGCCTTCCCCACATAATCGGCATCCCTACCGGCTTCGCCTCTCTGCTGTACGATCTTTTGCTCCTCCTCCCTATCCTCTCTCCCTTTTTCCTGCCTCCCTTTACCTCCGACCCACCCTCCTTTTCATTACCCTTTCTGTTGTTGTTCCTCTCCCTTCCTCTCTCCCTCCCTCCCTCCCTCCCTCCCTCCCTCCCTCTTCGGACCCTTCATGATCGTTTTCTCCTCCCCACACCTCCCCCAAAACAATGATTGCTTGTTCCTCTTCCTTTACTGCTTGGCTTGCTCTGACCCCTTCCTCCTTCTGTTCTCTCTCCATGTTTCCCCCCATCTTCTCTCCCTCTCCCCACATTTTTGTGATGATTTTAATTGTTTGTGTTTTGCAGGGACGAGTTCTGGAATCTTTACCGAAGTTGCTTGCACCAAAGGGTCCTTCAGAAGCAATTGCAGATTTGCTTGTATTAAACAGGACCCCGCTGAAGCTCTCGTGCAAACCGCTTTTCTATGCGGATCTTCCATTCCGGAGAGTTGTATGCTGCTGATCTTCCATTCTGAAATCTTCTCGTCTCTTTCGGAGCTCTGTTGAACTGTCATCAAGCAGCCGTACCAATTGCTACCATCCCGTTGACGAGTCACGAGCGTTCTTCGAACTCCGTGTATTATTCTACACTGGTGCAGTGAGCTTTCCTCCTCCTTCCAAACGGAGCAGCAGCAGCTGAGAGGGGTTCCCAGTGCGAAAAGGGCAAGCGTGGTTCGAGTATAAGGTCTACGGACTCTTCGATGGCAAAATTCTGGCAGTGTTTTGACGAAACTTTATATACAGCACATCACCTTTTTTCTCGAGCAGCGCACTGTGGGAACGGATTGGGGAATGGATTCTCTTGTCCGATTGCAGCCTGGTGGATTTTTTGTCCGAATGCAGCTGGTCCGGTTTTGCCGCAGCGTGAATTGATTCTTGTTCTCGAGCAGCTTGCTGTGTGAACGGATTTCTTGTGACAGAAGAACCTTGTCGCCCTGCCAGTGTTTGTGTTTCACCTTGTAAGTCTCTGCCACACTGGGCCTCGCTCCACTACAGAACACTCTGCCATGTATCTGGAGGTGATAACCATCCCGGTACGTTTGAAATATTGGACTCTGACGAATGCACCTGGTCCAGAAAGACATCCAAATGCATGTGGAATGTTGTTTGACTCCTACGAATACACCTGGTCCAGAAAGGCAGCCAAATGCATGTAGAAACGGAGTTCACCCGGTCCAGAAAGGCATCCAAATGCATGTAGAAACGTAATTACTAGACTCCTCCAAATGCACTTGGTCCGGAAAGGCATCCAAATGCATGTAGAATGTCGAATAGTGGAGTGAGGCATAGGCCCAATGCCACCTTCTACTCTGTCACCCTTTCACCTTGTCGCCCTGTCAGCTTGTCAGTCTGCCATAATGGGCCTCCTCGCTCCACTACACAACACTCTAGATGTATCTGGAGCTCGTTATCGTCCCGATACATTCAAAATGTTGGACTCTGACGAATGCACCTGGTCCAGAAAGACGTTCAAATGCATGTACAATGTTTAGTAGTAGTGGAGCGAGGCGGGATGTCACCTTTTCACCCTGTCACCTTGTCACTTTGCCACAGTGGGCCTCGCTCCATGACACAACACTCCACATGTGTCTGGATCTCATAACCGTCCGGATTCATTCCAAAATTTGCACGCCTCCAAATGCACCTGGTCCACAAAGGCATCCAAATGCATGTAGAGTGTTGAGTTGGGAACTAGGCCCAATGTCATCTTTTCATGTACCACCCTTTCACCCCGTCACCTTGTCAGTCTGTCACAATGTCACTTTTCCACCTGTCACTCTCTCATTCTGCGACTTTTTTATTTCACTATCAGTGTGTCACGTCACCTTCAGTGTGTCACGTCACCGGATGGCATGTGATGCCACCTGTGACAAAGTGGATAACGTAACGGGCACCCCCACTTTTCAGCTCTTGGGTTAACGGGTCCAAAATTTAAATTAGGGCTTAGGGGGGTCAAATTTTATGGTGGTGTTTTTTTTTTTTTTTTTTTTTTTTTTTTTTTTTTTTTTTTTTTTTGCCTGTTTGTGTTTTGGTTCACGGTGGGTGTGTGCCAAATTCAGTGTCTTTTGGAGCATTGGAAATTTCTCTGCTGACATTTCCGAAATTTCTGAAAATTTTTGAAATTCAGAAGTCGGAATGTTGGCAAAATTTGCATGAAAGTGGCCTTTTGCCTTGCAGTTTTATAGGTTTTTTTTTTTTTTTTTTTTTTTTTTTTTTGCAGTCAGTGAATATGGTGTCGACTCAATGAATTTATGGCAAGTTTGGTTAAAATGACCCATGGGGTTTTGTTAGAAATGGCATGACAAATTGTCTGAAAATGTAGGCCTCCGTTAACCCTCTCTCGTCATTTGCCATCCTATCACTTTGTCACCTAGCTTTCACGGGGGGCGCGGCCGGGCAGGGGCCACGCCTGGGGAACCACGGGCATGCAAAAAAAAAAAGCTTTTTTTTTTTTTTTTTTTTGCTGCCAGGCCCTGCTGCGCTTTGGCAGTAGTGCCCAACTCCGGCCTCTTTTTTATTTTCATGCCTGTCGATTTTTGTGTGTTAGGGGGG